TGATGTGATATTATCATATATCAGTTTGGTGAAAAATGAATTGGAACTACAAGAGGGAATCGTTGAGAAATCAGCTAATGAATTTCCTTGCTCCTGAAGCTAGAGGGTCAGGTATTAAACAAAAAAACATTTACCTGGTGACAATACCCTCTCCATTTAAGTCATTTTTTTAGTCTCTCTGGCTCTCAATTTCTTTATAAAACATTGGAATAATAGCAGAACCTAGCTGTATCAGTCAGGTAAGTTAAGTGCAGTAACAACCCCCCCCCCCACATCTCAGTGATTTAAAATAACAAAGATGTATTTCTTATTCACGTCCACTGTGGGTTGACCAGCAGCTCTTCCACATCATCCTTACACGAGAACCTGAGATGATTGACTTTTACCATCTGGAGGGTTGTCAACCATCATGGCTAGGGGAAGAGATCATAGCAAGTTACACACTGGCTTTTAAAGGGTTTTGCCAAAGGGACACACGTCTCTTTCCTCATGTGTCAGTGACCAAGACAAGCCACTTCTTTTGCCTAGATTCATGGGGTTGAGAAAACGCAATCCAATAATGGGTCTGTGGGCCTAGAAGGAGAATTGGAATGTTGGTGAATAACCCTAATGACCACCCCATGGCCCTATTAGCATTGTCAGGGGATTAAGTTAGTGAATGTAAAACTAGGCACAATGCTTGGTACCTTACAAGAACCAAATAAATGTTAGGGCTTGTTATGACTTAACATTGGTTACAAACATCATTCATAATGATGACTTGAGGTTTATTTCCGCTTGTTGCCCATAGTGTCCCATAATAAAAGGAAACTTCAGAAATAAGGCCTGTGTTGAGACAAAATAACTGCATAAGCTCGCACGATGGAAATGCCTCAGTGTCCTACATGGACATAGTGCAACGACTCAGATGACTTATATTCACAGTGCTTAGTTATTCTTTTCTGTCCAGATGGGAAATTTGTGGCTTATATAAACTGCTAAAGAACAAAGAGGATCGGAATGACACATTTAATTTTATGGAGCCAAGTACATTATTTTCCAGCGCACGGCCCCGTGTCTGCACCTTTCCTTTCACTCTGTTAAGCGGCAACGACGCGGCCACCCTGGTCCAGGTTGAGCGTAAGCAGGTCAGGTTGTAGTCAGAGCGGTGTAGACAAAAATAAGTCCTCTCGGTTTTCAGAGTCCTCTTTCTCCTCCTTTAGTCTTGGGTCCTCAACGCCCCGGCAGCATCTGGAACTTAGCCGTCCCCAAGTGAATGAAGAACAGAATGAATATGCAACAGTTGTCCCCATGGGAAGGAATTTCAGACGCAGGGAGAGCACGAGGGGACATTTTCTCAGTGCCTGGGATCCTGAAATCCTGTGCTGATTGCCTTTCCCTTTCCACTCATTTCTTCCCTCCTTTGTAGTCAGGCCGTGGTCACTGGGGAAGCAAGGAGGAGTACCTTGACCCCTGCAGCACCGCTGGACAAAGCTGCCTTGAGCCCTATTTCTCTAGTAAATAGCATTCCCTTCCCCATCTCCTTCTCACCCCTGAGAAAGAATCCTGTTTTTAAGAAGAAACAGTCAGTCCCCTCCCCGATGTTTGATCCGAGTAGAGGCTGGGTCTCTTGAGGAAATGCTTCCATCTCCGTGGCTCAGACTTCAACAGGCATGGCAATCACCTGGAGAGCTTGTTCAGACAGACTGTTGGGCCCATCCCCAGGATTTCTGATTCGGGAGGTGGCAGTGGGCCCATGAACTTGCATTTCCCACCAGTTCGCAAGTCATACCAATGTGGCGGTAGTTTGAACAGCACTGCTCTGAGCTCCGTCCCTGCTCCTTCCTCCCGGTGCCTCCAGAGTTCCCGGAGCTCGTTTCTTTTCAGGTACTGGGTTTGCTTAATTTTTTCATGTTGCTTTTGAACTGTTGGGATGATCCTAATTATTCCTCTTCTGGTATTATAAGACTCGTGTTCTCTTTTATGTGTCTGCCCGAATGTTGTTTTGATTGTTACGGATGATGAATTCCTAAGCATTGGAACCATCTGGTCCCAGAAGACCTTCTGGAGGGAGGGAAAGCCGAGGGGGTTGCCTGCCCAGCACTTCTGAAGACTGTATTTGGTCAGAATAGTAAAGGGACGGCTTCCTTATAGCAAAGACATTTGGACCTTTAATCAGCTATTTCAGAAATTTATGAGTGTTTTTCTTATACTCCTGGTATCTAGCTAGATAGCCAGTTGGTCTTTTTGAAATCATTAGAGGAAGTAAAGAAATTCCTTCAGCTATAGGGGTGGAATATAAAATTAATGCATCTGCAATTTTGCACAAGGACTTTTCTCCTTTAGTTGACTGAGTCGAGTTGTACATTCATAGCTGTAGCTCTTAAATTGGTCTTGATATAACAACAAAGTAATTTGACTTTTGAGAATAAAGACACACATGAGCCTGAAGAAATGAAAGTCTAGATTTTAAGTGATCTTCTATTTGGGATGTGTATGATTAGATGAACGAACTAGGAATTGTATTGAGTTAGACGGCAGAGTGAGCTCTTTTCCAGATGGCTTATCTGGGTATTTTCTCCATGTGTATGTTTTTCCACTGTGCCTCTAGTTACACAGAAGAATTTGTGTGGCTCCGACCAGCGGTGGATTGTAGACAGCGGTGTGCACCTTAGTGCCTGCTCTCCAGCTGTGTACGTGTATATGTATTCGAAATCTATTTCTCGGGGCGCCTGGCTGGCTCAGTCGTTAAGCGTCTGCCTTCGGCTCAGCTCATGATCCCAGGGTCCTGGGATCGAGCCCCGCATCGGGCTCCCTGCTCGGCAGGAAGCCTGCTTCTCCCTCTCCCACTCCCCCTGCTTATGTCCCCTCTCTCGCTGTCTCTGTCTCTGTTAAAAAATAAATAAAATCTTAAAAAAAAAAAAAAAGAAATCTATTTCTCAAATAAATGAGATTGCTTATCACATTGAGTTTTTGATATTCAGTTAATATATTTGCAGACCATTTCTTCCTGTCATTAAATGTTTTTGTACATTTTTGAAATGACTACTGGTATGCATTTGAGTGTACCATGATTGGTTGGTCAAATATTGGTTGTGTTAATATGATCGAGAGGGGTCAAAAAAGTACATGTTGCCGAATTCTCCTCTAAAGAGAGAGAAAACACTTTTACATAAACACTGCTAACTAATAAAAAAAAAACCTTTTGCTGATATTTCCTTAGTTTGTCCATATGACACTTTAGGGGAAAAATAAAATCTTTTAAATCTTTAAACCTATTGGGTTTAAAATATTCTCACATCAGTTCAGGGTGCAAGAGTCATTTTTAAGTATCTTTCCCTTAGTTCTGGTCAAATCTATAGCAGCAATGAGTATTTGATTTTTATTTTATGTATGCATTGAGTGATGTAGTTTTAGGCGGTTTGTGTGTGTGTGTGTTTTGTGGGGTTTTTTGAGGAATTTGTTTATTTCTCACCTACAGCTTTGATAATTTTTATAGAAGTGGGTTCTTACAAAGGTTGGAAATGGAACTCATTCTGTCATCACCAACAGTTGCAAGTTGTTGAGGACATGGCGCTCTGCTGTGCAAGTCAGGGATGCATATGATTTCTTTCTTTAAATAACATTTTTTCTTTAAATGACATACTTTGTTTTTTCTTTGAATAACATATTTTCCCTCACTGCATTCTAAATTCATAAGCATAAATTCTTCCTTCTTCCCCTCATCTCCTTGTTTTCTCTCAACATTTGCAGTCATGCCTGGTTCTTCCCCTTATCCTAGTTCTGTTAATGTGCAGTATGATTGAAGGAGAAATCACATGTTCTTAGAGCTAAACAGCTCTGGATTTGAAACCATGCTCTTCTATTTCCTGGCTGTGTGACATGAAACAAATTACTTACCCTCTCTGAGCCTCAGTGAAATGGTACAGTTTTTCCTCCCTCACAGAATTTTTCTGAAGATTAAATACAATAGTGTATATTAAGTTCCTAACAGAATATCACGGCTCAATAAACACTTGTTCCTTTCCCATTTCTAATTTTTCATTCTTCCTTTGCAATTTTCATACTTTCCCCCCAAAGTCTCCAGATGAATAATTTGAACTTCTTGGCTGTTCTCTTGGAAAAGATTCAGAGTAAAACTTTCTTCTTTCTTTCTGGAATTCATCATTTTTAAAAAGTCCCTGTTTAACTAATATTTACTTTGATCTCAGTAGGGTTGCAGAGCTCAGGTTAGTTAACTTTATTCCTTTTAAATCCGAATGAATCCTAAAATGACCTTTTAAGCAGTACACAGTCCTCAACTATTTTATGAGAGCAGGTGGGGATGGGTTGGGGAGCTATGATGACGATGACTGGTGTCTCCATCAAGTAAGACTCGGAGATTTTACCACTGAATTCTGTCTTCTGCTTGGGGATTGCTGATGGGAAGTTGTGCAAGTCCATTCGTGCCATACTCATGGCTCTCGTGCCTCTGTTTTCTCTCCTGGGAATTCCTCCCTGCCTCTCTGCTTCTCTTCCTCCCTTCTTTGAAGACACCTTCTTTATGAAACCTCTGCTGCTTATCCCCTCCCCTAACCCCCACCCTCCAAGGTCACTGGCTCCTTTTGGCCTTCTCTGCATCCCATAAATACTTCTGTCCCTGTGCCTAGAGTGTGTCTTAGTACTTGCTTGGCGGTCTGCTTCTAGGCTGTCAGCCCGATAAAGGCACAGAGGGTGTCAGATTCACTGCGGAGCTCTGGTGCAGGGTTTGTGTTCCACAAATCCCTATTGAGTTCAGCAGAAGTAAACGTTCGACATCACAGCATGGGTCCTCAGATAAAGCAGCATTCAAGGTTGAAATTATTCTAAGTGGCGATCTGAATTAAAAGCAGCCCAAGCAGTGCTAACTAGAGATGAGTGAGATTCTCTGCTTTCCAATGCGAATGAGAAATTTGAATAAATTACCAGCATCATTCTGGAAGAATTAGGAATGTGATTTGATTTATTTAATTACTTGACTTCATTATCTTATATGGATTTAGGAAGAAAGAAGTCCTCTTCATCATGTCAAAAGTAATAAAAAAGAACCCAGATGCCCTATAAATAAATGGTTCAAAGCAAAGCATACTGAAGCCTGAACAAGGTCAGCAATGATTTCAATCTTCTCCATAATTTTCCTTTGGAAGATCAGCTACAGGAGCGGTATGGTCAGAACTTGCTCCGACAGACCTGGGAAACAGTTACTTCTACGTAAGTTACGATGTATCTTCTTGGACTCTTAGCTCATCTGCTATAAGGGGGTTGTCAGGCACCTTACGTTATGGGCATGAAGCTACAGCCTACATTTCAGAGTTGTGAGGATTTAATGAGCCAATATATGAATAAGCCAACACATGTTTGATTAATCTCCAAAAGGCTACAGATAAAATCTGTGGTTCAGCAGGTAACTATAGCAAATCTAAAAAATACTTTGATTATTAAAGCAAGTTATGTTTGTCCATGGGTTGGATATCACTGAGGATCAAAAATGTAAACTAATGCTAAGTATTTGTTTAAAAAGCATACAGGGTGGGACGAGGTGGCCGAGTGGTTAAGGCGATGGACTGCTAAAAAGCATACAGGTCAAAAACTCATCTTTATAACCCTATTAGTCTGATTGTGATGAAAATCATGAAGATTGAAGGCATTTTTAAAACTCAGATTGAAGCCATGTGAATTTATAGGATGGCTCAACCTTGGCATAAACTCATCTTAGATAAGCCCCCCGGGATGTCGACACTTGAAGAAAAGTTCCACGTAAATATACTTTCTCTGTGTTCAGATTAAGCAGGGACAGGGCAGTCACAGGGTAACCCTTGAGTACAAGGGACCATCTCCTTACCACCACCCCACCCGACTCCGGCCACAAGCTCCTGCCAAAACAGATCCTCACCCTCTAGGACGACTCTTGGGTCTCTGTAGACAACAGAGCCATGCTACACGCAAAAGATGAAACAGGGTCAACGGATGGGGCAGAACAGGGATGTAATTTCAGGGCATGAGAATTAAATAAAATTCAGCCTTGCTTCTTCATCTCTTTGAAGAGATGAATGCAAATCAGGTTAAGTGGAAGAACCCTTTCCGGAGCCCCAGAGCCGGTTTCCCTCATAATGAAGGCTGAAGATCTCTGTCTAGCCTCTGTGGCTGCATGCTTGATGAGAATAATAATTCTGAAGTTGCAGGCTAATTTCCAACAGAAGCCCATTTTCATAAGTGAATCAAAGTTGTAAGGTTAGATTAACTGAAGATCGTCAGTGAGGACTGAGCTTTGGGGAAAGAAAAAAAGCCCCTTGCCCCTCCGCGGGCCAGAAGGGAGCCGTGTGAATAAGTCAGGATGACCCGGACATAGGCGAGCCAGTTAGCCCTGAGAAAGGATTTGCTTTATAATGCACAGCATTATCCATGAGCATATCCCAGATTACAGATTTCTTGAAGACAGATGCCAGTTCATAATTCATCCTTTATGTTAACTTGCCCCCCGTAAATGCAGGTGTTGATCTTTGTTTCCTGTCCTTCACCGTTACGATGTATCGTAAGTAAATCTTTCATTCCTAAATTTCTGATTTAGTCTGGTTAGTGATTTTAGCCATTTTCTATTTTCTCTACTTTTGCGTTTTTTGCCTCAAAGGCAAAATTTTAAATCAGGAAGCCCACCGAATTATCCAAATGTATACTGCCTTTTACTCTTATTTTGTAAGCTTAAGCATCCTTTTTTTTTTTTTTTTTTTTGGTTCTGTACTTAATTAGAGTTCCAAAATGGAAATGAAATAAAAGCAGTGTGTGCTCCTTGCAAAAAGATGAATAATTTGGTTATACCTAAAGCGAGCGTCCCGCTCTTGACGCGTAAGCCCTGTTAGCAGTGGCCCTCCACATCCCTTCAGTGCATATCCAAACACATGTTCTGTATGGTTGACATAAACAGAATCTTATTCTTTATTTCTGTTCTAAAATCTCAAAAATATGATGTAAATGGGGCCCCTGGGTGGCTCGGTCGGTTGAGCGTCAGACTCTTGGTTCTGGCTCAGGGCGTGATCTCAGGGTCGTGAGATCGAGCCCTGCGTCGGGCTCCACACTCAGCAGGGAGTCCACGAGATTTTCTCTCTCTCTCTCTCTCCCTCGGCCCCTCCCCCACCTCTAAAATAAATAATCTTTAAAAGATATGATGTAAATATTTTTCCTCATTGGTACATACTCATTGTTTTAAATATCTAATATTCTGTTGTATAGATGCAGCATAATTGACTTAGCCAATCTTCTCCTGATGAACACTTACGTGATTTCCAAGCTGTTATCATTCCCGTAGCACTGAACGCACGCTTTGTGGGCACTTCTGGAACTCTTTCTAAAGGATGTAGTCATGGAAGTGAAATGGTGGAGGGGGGAGGCAGGGACAAATGGAATGGGCACTTAACCTTTTGAAAGTCATTCCCAAACTAACCTCAGAAAAGTACCAGTGTGTCTTCTCATTGACAGCTTTTTAGGGTTTATTTTCTTTACATCCCACCAGTAATGGACATAATCAATCCCTCTTTTTCTTTTTTGTCAATTAGTAAGTGAAGGTCTGTCTTTACTTTTGAAATTGCTTTAGTCGGCATTTCTTTCCTTCCTATTGAGTTGCTCTTTTCCTTTGCTACCTGGACATTTGTACTTTTCTTTCTGTGACTGGACTATGAATGTCTTTTGTCCATTTTTCTTTTGGATTGCCATCTCTCACAGGAAATTTCCAGTGAAGCAACCATTATAAGGTATAACAGATATTTGAAGCTAAAAATATCTCAGACATGACCCCCACATACCCTGCCCTTGTAGAAAGGGCACATATGGTGTTTTTAGGAACATGGTTCCATCCTTTGCTGCTGTTAGGTTAAACCTCCCTTGAAATCATTTTCTGCCGTGCACTCTTTCCAGTTTTTTTTTTTTCCTATTCCTGACATCATATGCAGTTTATCATTCTTCTTGATTTTCCCCTCTCAGCTAATATAATCAGTCAGGATTTCTAGATGATCTGGTAATCCCAGCATCCCCAGCAGAACAATTCCTGACCTTATATCATTTTTTTTAAGAAGATAAGGAAAGAAGTAAGGATTTTTAAGAAAATATATAGAACTGATTTATGGTTTCAGATAGTTAACATTGCATTAATAATCCATAATTCCCCCCACACACTGAACATGGTTCTCCTTCTCTTCCTCCATTGTACCCACCTTTCCTTCTTCCTTCTTTTCTATCCTTTGCCCTTCCCCTCCTCTTTCCTTCTACTTCCTCTATATCCCTATCCAGCAGCAGCTCTGACATAATTTTGTCCCCTGGAATCTAGGTAAAAACTCTGCATAACACAGTCATTGACTGGTACTTCTTCAATGGTGAAACAATAGGCGCTCCCATTAAATCCAGGAGCCAGGCAAGAATGGCCACACCTCCCTATTGTTTACTTGTTTACCTTTGCTCTCCAGGTCCTAGGTGGTACAGTTAGAAAATACCAATTGTAGGGGCGCCTGGATGGCTCCGTCAGTTAAGCATCTGCCTTGGGCTCAGGTCATGATCTCCAGGTCCTGGGATCGAGTCCCTCATCAGGCTTCTTGCTCAGCCGGGAGTCTGCTTCTCTCTCTCTCCCCTGCCCCTCCCCACTGCTCGTTATCTCTCTCTCTCTCTCTCAAATAAATAAAATCTTTTAAAAAAAAGAAAATACCAATTGTAGTTTAAAATTGGGAAAGAAGAGGCAAAAATATATCTGGATGATGTAATTGTCCTTCTAGGACACTTAAGAGAATGAACTAAAAACTTTTTTTTTTTTTAAACAGTCAACAAGTTCAGTAAGACATCTTAGTAAATTTTTTTTTAAAGATTTTATTTATTTATTTGACAGAGAGAGAGACAGCGAGAGCAGGAACACAAGCAGGGGGAATGGGAGAGGGAGAAGCAGGCTTCTTGCCAAGCAGGGAGCCCGATGTGGGACTCGATCCCAGGACCCTGGGATCATGACCTGAGCCGAAGGCAGATGCTTAACGACTGAGCCACCCAGGCGCCCGACATCTTAGTAAATTAATGCACAAAGATCAGTAGCCTTCCTACATCCAAATGACAACCACTTGAAGACAGAAATGATAGTGACAGAAAAACGTACTGCTATATAGTAGAAACCCAGTGACAAAATACCCAAGAAACAAAAAGCAACAAGAAATGGGAAAGATCTATGTTTAAAAAAAAAAACAAACAACTCTGACATAAAAGAAAACTTTTAGATAAAATGCTGCTGTGGTATAACAGTGTCAGTTCTCCCTGTATTTATGTAGAGATCTAGCGAGATCTCAATAAAAATGCCAGATTTGTAAAAGTCAAATTCTGAAGTTCACTGGCAGCATAAAATGTGTAAGAATAGACAAGAAACTTTTGACACAGGAGAATGAGAATAATCTTATCAGGTATCCAAATATGTATTATAAGTAATAATCAAATCAGTTTGGTTCAGGCAAATTACTAGATTAATGGAATAGAAGGGTCAACCTTAATATTGACCAAAATGCATATGAAATTTGGTACATAGTACAACTATAAGAAATTAATATGCAATGGAAGTTGCATTTTGAAGCAAGGGAGGATAGATTTATTTCCTGTAAACAAGTTAGATCCTTACCTGTATTCTTACACACACACAGAAATCCAGATACATAAGAAAATTAAAATGTAACAGAATTAGAACATAAAATTACTGGAAGAAAACATGGGAGAATTTTTTTAAAAGATTTATTTATTTATCTGAGAGAGAGAGCACTCACGCACACACACGCACACAAGTGTACAGGGGGGAGGGGCAGAGGGAGTGAGACTCCTAAGCAGACTCTGCATTGAGCATGAAGCCCACTGCAGGGCCCAGTCCCATGACTCCAAGACCACGACCTGAGCTAAAATCAGGAGTTGGATGACACAACCAAATGTGCCACCCAGGCGCCCCAACATGGGGGAATTTTTAACATAATCTTCTATTGAAGAAGATCCTTCTAATGGTTCTCTGAAGCCATCAATCAACATACTGATAAGGCTGACCTCTTATAATTAAAATTTTCTGTTTGATAAAGGATACAATAAAAAAAGAACCAAAAATATAAATTAAATGTGTTTGCCAGACTTATCACTACCAGAGAGCTGGTTTCCTCAATATGTAAAGAGTTCGCATAAATCAATTCTAAGAAACAAAATGAGAAAACATTCTT